TCACAGCAATGAAAAGGTGACTGACACATATTTTCCCCATTTTAAAAAAAGGGGGGAGATGACGGTTGCTACCTGAATCTACCTCTTCACATATCTCCTCCAGAAATTAATACAGAGCAACACAAAGAAAAATACTTGTACTTTGCAGTAAAAGTAGGACATACCTATTTTTACTGCAAGCACCATATGAATTATCCAAGTGGGACACAAGTATCCCAGACGAATATACTAGAATCTGCCTTTGTGTGGAGGGAATACTACCGAAACGGGACAGATGAAAAGCAGAGAAGCCCCAGAAATGTAAGAATACATTATCCCAACATGACTTTCCTCCAGAATAAAGAACACCATTCTGCATGTAATGATAGGACTGACACCAAAGATATAAATTTAGTGAATAAATACAATGGCTGTGACCTATATGAACGGAAAACTTTTAAATTTAGATCAAAAATAAAACCCGAATCTATGTTGCATAAATGTAAGAAACTAAAATTTATACAATAAAGTGAAAAAGATGATTCAGTAGTCAAATGAAAAAGAATCACAGTAGAAAAGTTAAAATTAACTTTCAGCATAACTAGAGGCAAATATAGGAAGTTATAACATTTAAAGTTACAATTAAGCATAATAATAAAATTTATATATGAAATGACATGACAGCAAGTTTAATAAAGCAGAAAACCAAGATGTGGAAAATTGACTGACTACTAATACATTAATAACCCAAATTTAAAATATATAACTCCATTCTCTCAGTCTAAGATAGGTCAAGGGGGCAGAAAACCTAAAATAAATGGTCACTAAGGTAGATCTTATAGATGAAAAAAAAAAACTTTAAATCTCAATAAGAAAACAAACATGCTTCATTTTGAAAACACATAAAAAATTCATGGAATTTGACCTAGGTAGGGATAACAAGAAAGCCACAATAAGTCCCCAAAAGGATAAATTGACAAAAATTGTTCTCTGGCTACAACACAACAAAACTAGAAAGAACCACAACCAAAAATTACCTGTACATGTAGAAAATTTAATTCTTAGGTTAAAAGACAACCTGAAATTGCAGAATGAATGAAAATGTCTACATATCAAAAAGTATGGACTTAAGCATTATTTAGGGAAAACTGTAAAGATTTAAGTATATTTATATAAGCACCTAAGTAAAGAATTTAGTATATGTTTTTATAGATTTAAAGTAAGAGTAAACAAAGATTTAAAAATACTTGAATCAAATGTTATACTCAAAAATACAAAATACAACACAGGACAAAGAAGAAAAAGGGAAGACGCTGGTCTTACCAAGTGCACAATGGTTGAGGACATACTAATGGCATCTTTCACTATCATCTTAAATTACAGTTAGTTTTTGCCCTAACAATATGAATTGTAGGAAATTAACCTAAAGATAGTATCAGATCAAGTATCAAATTACCTAAGTGTCCGGATATCTATAAACAAGTCACCAATAGACTAACGAACTGGCCTATCCTTACAATAGACTCTTAAACAGCCATGGGAAAAGAGCATTATAAAATCCATGGTAAGTGTGTTGGGGGCAGCAAAATAGACAACAGTAATCAAAATGTCATATTTTGTGAATGAAAAGATTACCATAAATCTAACCAATGGTATGTTTACATTTTAAAAGGAAATACTATAGTAAAAGAGACACTGCCATGAATTCTTCTCAAAATAACACCCCTCAGTTGAAGCACACTTACCCCATCAGTTTTGCCAGTTGTTGAAACAGCTCTGGAAGCCCTCTTTCATGACTGTCTTTACAAGTTGTCATGAATGCTGCTGCCGAGTGCCATCCAATGAAAAGGAAGGCTTGCAAACCATTACTCTCACCCGCCTTATTCACCAGATCTGGCACTGTGCAAGTGCTGGCTCTTCCCCAAAATCAAAATCACCATGAAAGGCAAAAGTTCTGAATCTATTCAGGACATGGAGGCAGCTGAGACAGCACAACTTAAGTCACAAATAGGGACTTCTAGAACAGTTTCAAAAACTGGCAAGGATGATATGGTAAATGTGTTGGAAGCAAAGAGGGGCATTTTGAGGGGGATTACTGGCAATGTGTCTTTTACTGTAAATTAAAACAGAATTAAAAATTAACCATAGTTTTGATCATACACATATTTAATATACATAGTATATACATATACAGTAGTATCTTGGTTCACAAACGCTTCTGTTCACCCCAATTCAGTTCATAAACAGAAGCACTAAGCAAAATTTTGCTTCTCTTCACAAACTCTGAGTCAGTGATGAACATGACTGTAGCCATCTGTCTGAGAATCATGGAATGAATTAAATTCATGATACAATTAAGTTCATGAACAAATGTACCACTGAAATCCATACATAAAAATATATGCATGTTAAAGGGTAAATATTTACAATACTAAATATACAAAAATGTTAATATATGAAGGAAAATGGAAGAATAGAATGAAAGGGATGTGGATAGACACACAGTCCCTTCAGCATACATTTTAAAATTTAATTTGCACTTTGAAATCATGTATCTTTTTCTTTATTAATGCACATTTGCAGTACATAATTACATCCATTATGGGGAGTGGTACATGTACATAACACATCTTAATTCTCAAAAAATATATGTTTTAATCAAATGGAAAAATGAGTTAATTTTACACATCAAATTCATAAACTCAATTTCAAAAGAAATTGAAACCAAAACTATCAACAGATAAAGAAAAAGTTATTGAGCTATACAAAGATAAAACCATGTCAACTGATGAAAAATGAATGAGAAACTTGAGACCATAATGTTAATTGCAATGTGTCATACAGAAAATTAAACGTGTGTTTGTTAATATGTTTTATTTTATCTTTAAAATAAAAAACTTAAAATATAAATAAAAAAGAAGAATGAAGGGGAGATAAAAAAGAACCAAAACTAAATTTAAACCTAAATTTACAAATTTACATGATGTTATGACATACTACTTTAATCACAGCTTTTTAGGATATTATAGTGCAAGGACAAAAAAGAAATATAAAGAAATCTTGAACTTAGGAAGTTTTATCAGCTAAAAAACAGTAATACTGGCACCAATATTACAAAACTATTTTATGGATAAAACACAAGTGGTAATGTTATTTTTTTTAATTTTTTTATTTTTTGAAAGACAGGGATTTGCTTTGTGATGCAGGCTGGCCTCAGACTTACTAGGTAGCCCAGGTTGGTCTTGAACTCATAGTGATCCTCTTGCCTCATCCTCCCAAGTTGTTGGACTACAAGTGTGTGCTACCATGCCCAGCTGGTTATGCTATTCTTGACATAAACTATGGAGTATAATAAGGAGAATACAACTGTAAAACTTAAGAAGTTAATTTGAACTACATATCAGTATGTGATATCTCCAATTCAAATTTATGCACAGTAAACTGTCTCAAAAAGAATAGTAAACAAACTGATTAGAATATTTTGAAGTATAAAAATGTGAGTTCACAAGAACACAGAGAAAAAGAAGGAGAACAAATTGAAAAACAAAGAGAGAAATACAAAAAAATCATACACCCTTGGAAATAAAGAGCCACTGCGACTTTATCTCAAAATTTATCAATGCCAAAGTAAGTTCTTATCCCTACCTTTCCTGTACAAACTCTTTCAAAGTAACCAAATAGTTCTAATTAATCACAGAATCCCTGAGCAAAAGATCTGGTGGAAAAGACAAAATTAGAAAACTCACTTTCCATGTCTTCTGGTGGATTAACTGACACAGGGTTGGTGCAAGAAAGCATTAGATGAAAGGCTGATGAAGAACTCTATAAAGAAGGGTTTATAGGTGCACCAGCTATACGCAATAGCCTACCAGAACATCAACAAAAGTAAATACACTATGCCTGCCAGTGGTAATTAATGCAAAGTACAGATCATCACTTAGGAAGAATTCTTGCTAACGTGGTCAAATTCAAATTTAATCAGGACTTTTGAGCTGCCTTCTACTTATGGGTGATATGGGCTTAGTGAAACAATTTCAGTGACATTACAGTAAGCAAATGCACTATGACAGAAGGCAGGACATTCTGCAAGACAACACCGGTCTGCATCAAATCCACAGCATGGAGAAAACAAGTAGGAACATTGCTACAGATTATGAAAATTCCAAGGCCTACATTTTAAGCCATCTAGGAAGTAATATAATGAGACTTTCATTTTAGAATCTTTACAGTGGAAACAACTGGAAGCAAACTGAAGTGAAAAGTTCAGAGACAGTAGGGAACAGAACACTGGGAACAGAATACTTTCATAAAACCTGACAACAACGGATGAGAGAGATGAGCCAAAAAAAGAGGACAGGCACAGCAGCAGGAAAAACACGGACATGAGGCAGGTGGTAAGTGATGAAGTAAAGTCCCAGATGGAAGTGACAGGAATATTTCTAGGAAACAGCAGGACTAGTCTTCAATTTAAAAGTCATTTTAGTTCCTGAATTCTGCAGATTAGCAGGTATGAAGGAGGATGCAGACATTACCATGGAAGGACAAAGAAGCTTAGGGATATTCCACTCAATGAATTCTTTCATGTGCTGTTAGCATCTGTATCATAAGAGGGAAAGATTGGTCCAAGTGATACCTGTAGCCAAGGAGAGGAGTGGTGAAAAGGTTCACTAGGAAGTATTTATGGTAATTGCTGAGAAGTGTGGGAAGCACAGGATCCATAGAAATCGTGGCGTCTAACTGGGTCTCCACTAGAGGATTGTTCCTCCAGAAAAAGGAGGGAAGAAGGGTAGATACTAACCTATGGTGCTAGTGACAACTGCGCAGTTGCCAGAGATGGAATGTAATCCTTGTAAATACATTAAAACCCAGTTTATTTTTCTAATCTAGGTGAAGTAAGGTGAAATACACTGAACATGAAATTTGCACTTTAGCAATGACACCCTATTCTCCAAAAGAAGGAAATAAACAAAATGCAATCGTAACAAATAAATAGTTAAATATTAAAACTCTGCTTTTCTTACCAATTCGAGTGATTTTATTATGTGAAAGCTCAAGATTTTGGATATTAGTGCAGCCATCCAAACCATGAAAAGAAGTCAGTTGATTTTTATTAAGAAGAACTACACAGAGATTTTCCAATTGTTCACAATTGATAGTCTCAATATGGTTTTCCTAAAGAAAAGAACAGATGTAGTAAATTTTATTTCAATGCCTTATGAATGACATATTTAAAATTTGCAAAGAGAGGATGAGATATGATCTCCAAATGAATATATGAATCTGTAATGTCTAAGATAATCATGCAAACTATTATACTATCCAGATTAAAATATTAAGTAACCTAATGAAGAATTTTTAAACGCATTTACTAACATGCTTTGAAAATAAAAAATAGGGCAACATAACAAAATATACAAAATAACTTAAATGAACAAGAGTAATTATTGTTTCTTTTTTTGCTTCTTCCATTTTGGATGGCAGTAATTATTGTAGTAAATCAAGCCCTATGTCACCATGATATGCAGAGGTGTCGTGGGAAATAACTTTTCATTTTATTTTGCAGATCTCTTAAGTTGAGAAAACTATACCTGAGGCACTTCACACAAAGAGCTTCACCTTATTCTGGACCTGATTTAGACGAGAGGACCCTATGCTTCCAGCATGCATCTGATGCAAGAAGTTGATAAGACCTTGGAGCCTTCAGGATATGAGTATGTTTTGCAAGTAGGAAAGGTGGAAATCCATTAGGATCCAGAAAGTAGACTGTGATGTGCAGTTACTTTGGTAGTTCAAACAAACTTCACAGTATTAACACATCCCTCAAACATGATCTCACAACGCAGCCAAAAAAAATATTAGCCCACATAATGCAAGCACTTGCATATTGGAGTTAGATAAGCACTTGCGTATTGGAGTTTGGAATATTCATTCCTAAGATCTGAACATTCTGGGAAGATAGCCCCAAATAACTAGCAGAGGCTCCAACCTCCAGATATACCTGTCAAGGCACCAGACGAACAACAGAGATGTTGTCCAACACAGATGGGGGCCTTCTCAACCTACCTGCCATTGGACTGTAGTTACATAAGAGACTCAGCCAACATGACATGAAGCAGAAGAAATGCCCAGCCAGTTCTGGCCTCAATTCATGGCCCGCATAAATTATAAGCACAGGAGATGGTGGTTACTTAAAAATACCAAGTAATGCAGGTATTTGTTAGCAAAAGTAACAAACATAGCCACATCATCTGCAAAAAGAGAGGTAATTCCCAGGTCCTAACACCAAGTCACCTACTCTCTCTTCTTCTCCCAAACATAGGCACTTGGTCTCTTTAGATCCTGAGTTACAGGTTATTTAATAACAGTTACCTCAAAGCTAGTCTGCACTGTCAACATAAGCACGTTTACATTTTGTTGTAAATTAGAAGTAAGCAGAGGACATACCTGTGCGTCAATGTATTTAAGGTGTTTGCAGTTGCTCAAACTGTGCAAAGATTTTAATCCACAGCGTCTGAGGGAGAGAAACCGAAGGTTCACACACTCGGCTAAAGTGGAGAGACTACAACCGGGCAAATCTTGAAATGTAACAGTTGTCACCTTGAGAATTCAAGAACATTGGAGGAATGTCAATGAAACATTATACGATACACTGGCCATGTGAGACTGTTTTAAAAATTCATCTAAAAATATTATAGTTCAGAATCACCTTTATTAACGACTCAGTTTGAATTAGGCTCTGGTCTCTCTTTTCTTTGCACAGAAAGACAAAATAACCCAATCACTTATGACCAATACAATTTCAAAGTAAAATGCACTTTTGTCTCATTTTGTTTTCCAAGCTCTTGGCATCCTTTGCAGGATCACGCCACATAAATATGTATGATCGGATTTGAGGATCTTAGATATTCCAAGATAATAAAAGGATGAGGAGGACCACATGTTCATGGAGATACAAAGAAGGATTTAGCCTCCTCCTCACTTTAAGTGGCAAAAATAATAAGTGATGTATTTTAAAACCTCAATAAGAGTTTCAACTTTAATAATTATCTTAGGAATGCCTCATAAAATTTTAAACAGTTTGGGGGGAAAATTATTTTTAATAATATTTTTGAAAAGAAAATCTTCACCCATTTGTGTGGCAATTACCTCTAGGAATTACCTAGTTAGTCTGAGTGCAAACAAATATAAATTCTATAATTGGAAAACTAGATCTGTAATAGAAGATGAAAGCATTGTTTAGAATGGAATACTTAAAAATGAATTTCAGCTATATAGTAACAAACGCTATTCCACATTAGAGTGATATAAATCTGCCTGATTTAACAGCATGCTGCTTTTAATCAAATATACAGGCACACCTAAGTTCTAATTATTTATTATGTGGCAATTTATGTAGTTTCATTTCGTTACACTACATGAATAACAACTGCTACAGTATCTGTGTTAGCAGCATCTATCTACTTTTGAATATCAGCTTCTTAGTATTTCTTCCTTTACCTTAAGTTTTTTAAAAAAAATTCTTTTGGTATAGCAATATAGTCTCGACCCAGCCTTAGATTTTCCCAAATAGATATCAGAATAATTTTTTTTTTCTTCCGGTACCAGGAATCAAACTCAAGACCTTGCACTTGCCAGGCAGGTGCTGTGCTGCTGAGCTAAATCCCCAGCCGCCAAAATAAATTTTATATTATTTATTGAAACATGCATGACACTAATCACACATAGATTACCTTGCTTAGTGCTCCAATGATTAAGGTTAATATAACGTAGTTATTATATGTATCCAGTCACTATATGGTCAGCACAGAAAATGATAATTGAAACATACAAAATCTTGGCCAACTTTTTTGTAAACAAATAAATGCACTGTCTTAATCTGTTGAAAATCTCAAATACATTTATAGCTTTCATATTTTCTCTCCCTTTGAAGGATAAAAACAAAGCACTAGAAAAATTTACATATCCAAGCTCTCATGACCTATAAATGAGAAGTTCCACCTATGAAACCTACAATCATGAGCTGTATTTTTGTAAAATTTCATGAGTGAATTTTCCCTTTAACATCTGAATTTTCCCAAACCTCTGAAACAGCTCATTATGTATCAAATGACCTAAGTTGCTATACATTTTTTAGAGATTTCCACACTGGGTATTCTAGAGTTCAAAGAGTATCAGTTGTATATGGTACTGTAATTCCAAAAGTTACTCAAAGGAAAACTGTTTCTCACTTTTCCAGAATACAGTATTTGCTCAGTACCCCAAGACAGTGGGCAATCACGGTAAGGGCAAGAATGTGAAGCTAAGAGATTAGAAAGTCAAAGTGCAGAAGTGAGTCACGGGTCAGAGGCCATGATGAATGAAGACACCTTAAAAAGCTTTCCTTGTTTGCCTGTTTTGCTAAAGAGAACCATTTCAGGAACTGTCTGGAAGCAAAAGACAGTATTTCACAGTACTTCAGCATTTATATGACAAATTCATGTTTTTCTGTGCTTACAATACATGGTTGGGGGCTGGGGATTTAGCTCAGTGGCAAAGCGCCTGCCTGGCAAGCGCAAGGTCATGAGTTCGGTTCCCGGTACCGGAGAAAAACCAAAAACCAAAAAAAAAAAAAAAAAAAAAATACATGGTTGTTGCTTCAGGGAAAAATTAAAAATTTGAAATCATTACTTTGAGTCCCATAAGACGATCAGAAGGTACTGTGGAACCCTGCTACTCAAAAAAGTTAATGGTAATCTCTCAAACAAGAGACCTATTTAATTAAAATTAGCATTTCAACAAATCCTCAGGTGATCTATATTCATTTTGATTTTCTGAACCTTGCTATAAGAAGTGAAAAAAAGAGCCAGGCATGGTGGTGCATGCCAGTGCACTTCAGAGGCTGAGGCAGGAAGACCACCACTAGATCGAGACCAGCATGGGCTACATAGTGAGTTTAAAGCCAGCTCGAACTACAGAGAGAGACCTGTCTCAAAAACAAAACAAAAGAAGTAAAAGAATTCATCTTCACTTTATGTAAACTGGTAAGAGTTCCAAGAAAGAAGAGAGAGGTGGCAAGAGAAAAATAACAATGAGAGTTTTAACTTTCTCAGACCTTCTCACTGGACGCAATGACAGCTAGACAAAAGGGAAGAGCGCTGCTATTTCTCTAACTTCAGTTATATTTTGAAGTAAGTATTTGTTACTCAAGAAACTTTCACTCATGCCTACCCCTAACAAACATCCATGGGTGAACTTACTGTAAATGAAATAACTGCTGGTGCATCAGACTGGGAAGCCTGAAACATCTTAGAGAGAGGACAAATCAAAAAGAAAGACGTGGTAGCGTAGCCCAAGGAAAAATGTGGGGAGAGCAACTGGAGATTCTTGGTTTTTTTCCTTTGTGTTACTAGTGACTGAATCCAGGGCATTTGCACTGAACTACATCTTTAGAGCTAATATCCACCTCCTCCTCCTCCTCCTCTGTCAGTTTACATAAAGTGAAGATGAATTCTTTTACTTCTTTTGTTTTGTTCTGATTTTAAGACAGGTCTCTCTGTGTAGTTCAAGCTGGCTTTGAGCTCACTATGTAGCCCATGCTGGTCTCAATCTAGTGGTGATCTTTCTGCCTCAGCCTCCGAAGTACTGGGGTTACCGGCGTGCACAACCATGATTGGATCTTTCTTTCACTTCTTGTAGCAAGGCTTAGCAGCAGCAGCAGCAGCAGCAGCAGCAGCAGCAGCATACCATCATATTTTGAGGAAAGTTTCCCTAAATTGCCCATCATCATCATCACCATATTTTGAGAAAAGTTTCCCTAAATTGCCCAGGCAGGATTCAAACTGGTGATCCTCCTGTCTCAGCCTCCCAAAGTGCTGGGATTACAGGCCTTTGCCAAGTGGACATCCTTTGTGTAGTGCTACAGAACTGATATATACAGCAAATATATAGCCTAGGAAATAGGAAATGATTAGAAGTCATTTATGTCTTAGATTGTTCTTTTCTGTCCCAAAAGTCTCTCTGAAATGTCACCATTTTATTCTCTTCTCACAGAACACCCTGAAATCCTACTTTTAATTATGAAGCCATAATACCGTATTTGTGTACCTATTTAAATTCCACAAAGGTAAAGACTGGATTTCTGTTTTTGTCCATTCCGTCTGCCAGTAAATACGGATCAATCACAGTGGACAAATTAGTATTTGCTCAGTAAATGAATAAAATAACGCCTATCTATTAATATGAATGTTTATTGCTCTGGGCATTTAGCTATATCAAGAAGCTATTGTTCAAAAGGAAAGAGGAACCAGGGAAGGGGAAGAGGGAAAGGAAGGAAAAGAAAGGAAAAAAATGATTAAATAAGGATAAGATAGAAACAGTGCTTTGTAAATAAGAAAGGAGAGAAGGGTTGAGGTGAGGAGAGGAGACTAGGAAGAAAGAGGAATCCAAGTATATCAGGTACAGGTACAAATTCCCTTTGATGAATAATCACATTATCATGATGTTTAATAATCAAATACATCATTATGCATATCTAAAATACACCAATAAACTATTTAAAATTATTTTCTAAAAGAATAAAATTTTTAAAAAGCTGAAGGAAAGTTATTAAATACATGTTACTTTCAGGACTTAGACAAATATAGGTATTTTAATAATAAAGTATTTCTAATATTACACAATTGAATATATTCTTCCTGTTTTTCTACACATTTGTTAGTTTCTGTGTCTCACTCTTGGTTGAAACTGTGGCCTCCATAACCACAGGAAACTAGTAGCATCTGAGCAGAACTATTTCAGACAGATGTGAACCACATTAATGCCGAACATGAGTAAGTAATTATGATTCTTTACAGGAATTCTAGGTCTTTTATTTAAGCTCTTCTTTCAGAGCAGTGGTCACAAACAAATCTTCACTTTGAAAGAATCCACTAGGTGGTGCAGTAGCCTTCATCCAAAGCAAACTAAATTCCCAGGCGCTCCCAGTCTTACAGATTTAATAATGGCGGTAAAGCCTTTACGCAGAGGCTTCAAGATTAAATCTCAAAGCTCGTTTTAGTACTTAGGGAGACAAGGCACTAAATAATTTTAGTAGATTTTATATTTCATCAATAACTCCATCAACTAAAGGACAGAATTTGTCTATAAAAATATTCTCTCTATTAAAATTTGAAATAATTTGTTATATATGGGAAAAAGTACTATAAAATTAGAAATACCTGCTGTAAATTATTCCAAGAGCCACAACGAAGAATGTCTGCTGTATTCAAAGGGGGCATACTATTGACTGGGCATTTTACAACTCTCTTTCTTTTAACAATTTTCTTTTGTTCATTTTGCTTGCAAATTTCAAACCAAGGTTTAAATGATTTTATCCAAGCTAGCCTTTTTCCCTCAATAGAAGATAACAGTGTTGACTCTGGTATAGCGTAGGTCGTGATACTTTCAGATCTCCCCCTATTTTCTTGGCATTCTTCGGGAATTTCTTTAGGATCATAGTTAAGGGAGTTTACTTCTTTAGTAACCAAGGAACTTCTTGCATTGTAACCACCCACGTCTTCACAAGGAGCAGGTCTCTCAAAAACATCCTGTTTGTCCATTTTGCCTTCTATATTTACGATGGCATCAGTAGTGTGAAAAATTACAATGTCACCATTTAGAGCATTTTCTTGTGGCTTATTTTCCATTTCTTTGGATTTTAAATCGATTACTTTTTCTTGTAGTAGTACAGCTTCAGAATTTTCTAATTTTATTGGTAGTAGTTTTTGTTTCTTTGAAATAACTGAAGTACTGTTCTCTTCATTCAATGATCCATTCTGTTCGGCTGTCCCATTTGCTCTGCTTTGTACCGCTTTCTGTTGATTATCTTTGATGTTTTTCTGTGCTTCATTTTTTACCTCACTCCTTTCGTGATTATGACCTACTATTACTTGAATTTCCTGTCTCACATTCTCACTCATGGCATGTTCCACACTTTCCTCTTTTGGCATCTGAGACTTTAATTCTTGTTTATGTACATTTTCTTTTAGACCTGAATTTTTAAATTTAGTTTCTTTGTCTATGTTTTCCTCTTTTATTTCTTGCTTCACTTTCTCAGAACTTTGTTTATTCCCTAGGCTGTCACTTTGTTCTTCCATTTTTAATTCCACCAAAAGGTTTTGGCCTGAGTTTTCAAATTTAGTTTCTTTGTCTATGTTTTCATCTTTTATTTCTCGTTTCACTGATTTTTCAGAACTTTGTTTTTCTCCTAGGCTTTCACTTTTTCCTTCCATTTTTATGTCCACTGAACTTGTTTGGTTTGATTTTAATTGTACTTGTGTTGATTCCTTCAATACAAGCTGTCTATCTCTATTTTGTCTCTGATTTGATTCCTCAACTAAACAAAGTGAAACATCTTCCGGCATCTTTAAGTTCTTATCCACTGATATTTTCACTGCATCACTCTTACTCTTTGATGTATTTTTAATAGTTAAATGTTTGGCATTATTTTCTCCCTTCTTTAATGTACTACTCATTGTTAGCTGTTGGGTTGTATTTTCTCTTAATTGTAATTTTTCTTTGTTTAACAGTTTCTCTCTTTCTTGTCGTAGGATATTCTTTTTCTCTTCATATTCTCTTTCTCTCCTTTTCCTTTCCTCTTGCTTTTTCTTGTTAATCTCCTCTGCTATCCTTTGCTCCTCTTCTAAACTTTTCTGTTTTTCTTCTACCTTCTGTCGTATTTTTGCTTCTTTTTCTTTCCATTCTTGTGCTTTCCTTTTCTTAGTTTCTATTTGTTCTCTTATGATTGGGGCATATTTTTGGTAGGTTACAAACGCCTTGTATTTAGCTTGAATTTTTATGGCTGCATTATGCTGAAGTTCTAACAAACGCATTTCCTCTTTTTCCTGTAGGTCTTTAAACCTTGTTCTTTCTTCTTCCATTTGTAAATGCAAGCTTTTAATGAATTCCTAAAATAAAGTAAGATAAGTAGCAGTCAGTATAAGCTAAATGTATAAAGGTATTAAAATTTCATCTAACAAATTAAAAAATACTAAAACTGAAGTGATAATAAAATTACTACAAAGTTCACTCAGAAAAACTAGGTATTTATTTTAAAGGGTGTTACTTTTTTAAAGATCATATGGTTAACTTGCTACTCTAGCAAAACTAATTAGGAGTATATTAAGTCACACAGGTATCCGTTGAAAAATTCTTTGAAGATAGAAAGTATATTGCATCAGAATGACACGGGAAAAAAAAAAACAAAGAGAAACCACAAGCAAAAATTTACATCCCCAACTCTCAAGACAGTTGAAACACAAGAAAAATGAGATGATTTGACAGAAAATGAAAAAATACCATTGTCACTAGAATTCTATAAAAAGGAAACATCAAAAAAATTTCAGTGAATACTTAAGGGAAACTAACACAAAGGATGTAAGATGATACCTTCAATAAGTAGAAGGAAGAACCAATTTCTGAGGAAAAAAAATACTAAACTAGGTAAAATTTAAATGAAAATAACTTTTTAGAACAAATGTTTCGACAAGAAAAACTTATTAAAATAAGATGCAAGTGTTCAAATAAAAATATGATTCACTCAAAAATCAAAACAGAATGGGTGAATGACCAGTTATCTAAAGAAAACCTTCCCATGAACTGTTTCCAACAAATATATGATCTATACAACAAAGACATTCAAGAGTACAGAAAAATCAACGAAGAACTACGAGATACAACTGAGAAAAACTGAAAGGAAAATAATAGAAAAGTTTCTAAACTAAAAATAAAAAAACATAGTACAGGAGTTTACATTATATTCTTTCACACACACACAACACATGCAACACATTTAGGGAGAAGCCAACAATATTTCAATATCAAAAGCAAATAAAATCTCCATGAAAATAAGGAATATTTTCTGTTTTATCATAACCACTTAGAGAATACCTGGCACACAATAGAAAATCAATAAATATGTGCAGATGAATGTACAAAATAAAAATCCTAAAGGTTCAAAAGAATGTACGGAGAAGCACCGAGTTTACAATCAGCAAAAGTAAATATACAGTGGCATCACATCTTTAAAACTTATGCATGTATCTAATAATAAAACTGGATCATATGCCTTCAGAAACTAATCATTCTGTTTTGAAAGCAAAATAAAAGTATTCTCAACTGTGCAATGATTGAGGAATCCTAACCATTCAAAAAATACTGATATCTAGTTAATATATATTCCAGGAAATGTAAGCTGAGTCTAAAAGTCAGGAAAGACTCAGTACTCACAAACCACTGAGATACAAAGAAATCAGTAACACTTAATTTTCTGTTCCCCTGTCTTCTGTCTGTCATTTTGCTGTTGTCATCAGCTCTAAGTCTTACTTCTGATGCTTTTTAAGTAATGCGTCTTTATTCCCTGGACAGTAAGACTTTTTTTCTTCATGTATCTTGAATTTCAAGAGTTGTACTGTTAAGTTCACAGTAGTAATTTTATTTTTGCATATCTTACTTGGAGACCATCAGTCATCTTTGAATGTTCAGGTTCATTTTTCAAAACAATTTGAACCTTTTTCAGACATAGCCTCCGTGTCCACGGCTTTTGCTCCATGTGCTCCCTTCTATCAAGAGTATCACCACACACATTTTTGTATTTTTTTTCAGTATGTATCACATATCTCTTATGTTCTTTTCTCTTTTTCCTATTTTTCCCCTCTCTGTACATGGATTTGGATGTATTCTATTGAACTCTCTCTTCTGTTACACTACTGTTCTCATTTTCTATTTCCAGTGTACTGAGGAATTTAAGTAGAACTCAATGGGAAAACTTCTCCTTTAAGTTTTAATTTCTTTACTACATTTTTAAACTCTAACACATATACATATCTCATTATAGGTTTTAATTCTTTTTTCATATCACCTGCTTATGCTGTTCCTGAATCACAGTTACAGGTATTTTAATGGTTCCACTAAATCTAGCATTTGGATTGTATTCAGATCATACATGAATGGGTTCTTCTTTTTTTCTTGTTATTCTCATAAAAGTATCTCTTCCCAATCCTAATGAATTTTTAAGTTTAAATAGGTACAGGAGAAAACCATCTTTTTTGAAAAGTTTTGAAAATATATAGAGAAAGATAAAACTGTTTAGTTGGATAACAGGATTACTAGAGGTTGTATATACTTTCTATTTGTGATAACTTAAAGTAATTTTATATAAAAATCATATAATTAAAAAACTAAAACTAATACACCCTCAGAAACATCTTAAATTCAAAGGGGTCATTTAATACAGTTGTGTCCAAGAAACAGTAGCTTTTCATAATGGGAGCGAGATAATAGCATCCTTCCTTAAACTTAAAGAGATTTTAATATTATAATTTTGTAATGAAAATTATAGTTTTATAACTCACAGAAATAGTGAATTCTTATTTTCATGATATTCCATTTCAAGGAGAATTTCTGATGATTAATTTTTAATGCTATAATAAGTGAAGTTCTACATCTGTTAGGCAATATTACTTTCAAATGCCCACGGTAAGCATAGGAATTTTATTTTGAATGGAGAAAGGACAATGTATTTATTAAGCACAAGCAGATACCTCATGCTGTCTAAACTTCTCTTTCCAAAGTTCCTCTTCCTTATGGAGCTCATCGTTCATCTTGTCCTCTTCTTGCTGAACATATGATAATGAAAACATTACATTAAAATATCAAAGAATCTTACGTTCACCATATATAGCTTTCACAAAATGTTTTTGCACACAATGATCAAGTGTGACAAGCCACCCCACCGTCCTCTGTTATTAGCCCTGAGATTGAAACTTTAAACTTAAATCTGGTATCTACCTAAATCACCCTATAAATGATGACCTTGGGTTCCCATTCTGAGGAAATAAAGATGCTTGCAATCTGGAAAATATATTTTATTTACTTGAATTTGTTTCTTCAAACAATAAAACAAAATGACTAGAAATACTGTTAGGCATTGCAAAATTCCAAATAGAAATGTTGAAAGACAGGTTTTAGGTTATAATTGCTTTCCCTCTACATCATTTAATGCACATAATAGCTCAGTACAGTAACTGTTTTCTTTCAGTCTGTCTTTTTAGTACTTATTTATTTAAGACTCCAGAATAAACAAAAATCAGCTCATCAAAAACTCTGCTTTAATATGGGAACACTATCTCAAGTTTACCATTACCTTCATTTCAGCAGAATTAGTTTATCATCAGAGAAAAACCGTATAAAAAAAGTCACTGTGTGAACAAATATTTTACAGGATCATGAAAAGTGCCAGCCAGAATATTGTACTTGAAAAGTGACTAGTTTTCAGGAGTGAAACAGAAATTTTTAACATCTACTAAGTAAGGTTTTTTTTTTTTTTTGGTACCGGGAATTGAACTCAGGACCTTGCACTTGCCAGGCAGGCACTTATGCCACTGAGCTAAATCCCAGCCCTTACTAAGTATGTTGAACTAAGAAAAGGATTACAGTTCTGTTTTTAGGAGACTTTTAAGTGTATGTTAGAATTTGGGAAAGAGAGGCGTGGAGAGGTGCTGGGGAAATACCGGAGACGAGCACGGAGATCAGTGAGGATCCTCTGCAGATAGGTAGCAGGGGTGAGAATCCATGCAAAGACAATACAGGCTGGAAAGTGTCAAATTGCTGGAAATTGTCAAATTTCTGAAAAGAAGTACGAAAAATGCTTTGGACATTAACCTCAGTGCGTTGCAGGGCCTTTTGGTGAGATGTAAGCAAGGAAACAACAGTAAAAAATAAATAGCTCCCTGAAGGCACTGTATTGGATCAGTTTAAGAAATGTAAGAGCAAAGGCAGGGAGATTGACTAGAAATTATAGGAAATATTCTTTTTTTGTTGTTTTAATTTTACGAGTGCATATTTCATAGGAAAATCGCTTTCATTTTGGCATATCTGTACATGGCACATGACGCACTATTTTTACTTTTCATGCCCTCCTTCCTTATCCCTCCCCTTCCCTCTTTGTCCTCTCCCTCTTCTCCGTCTCCTTTCTACTTCATATCATCTCTTTTTTCCTCTCTCTCTCTCTTTGCTTTAGAATCCCTGTATGAAAGCAAGCACTGATGTTTGATTTTTCTGAATCTCGTTTATTTGGCTTAGCATGATGTTCTCCAGCTCCATTCACTTTCCTGAAAGTGACTTGATTTCCTTCTTTATTTCTGATTAATATTCACCTGCTGATGGGCACTGTGGTGGATTAACTAATGGTCAACTTGTAACACTCAGTCGAACTGAATCAGCATAGTGCTAAGTGTGGAGGGCCCACCTGGGGATTGTTGCCAACAGCATAAAAGCAGAACTGGAGGGGAAGATTGTGGGCTGTTAATTCTCCGGGAGAAGTGGTCATGCTGGCTTTGCTGATATCGTCAGAGGAGCTCAGGTCCTCGCTGTCACTGAGGATGGCTGCAGTTCTCTTCAGGGGAGCTCTGGTCCGTACTTTGAGCATTGCTTCCTGGCTCGAGTGCAGATCCCTCAGCCTCCTGGTACAGATCCTTCACTCCTACTGGCACAGACTTTCTAGCTCCCACCACTGACCTTTGTGCCTCCCCAGTGAAGAACCCTGATACAGACTTTCATGAGACATGGTCACGGGCTCTAGGCCTCTAGCTGGACTCATGGAGGATATTGCCACGGGCTCTAGGTCTTCAGCAGGACGTGTGCAGGATATTGTCATGGGATCCAGGCTCTCAGCTGGATTTTTTAGGTCTCTAGTATGTGGACAAATTTCCTGCACTCTTTTGCATTTAACTCTTTGGGGGAATATTATAAAATAATCCTATAAACTACATGTCTTGTATTAAATCTCTTCCCTTGTAAACCCTGAGTACAACAGGCACCTAGGCTCTTTCCATAGTTGAGCTATTTGGAATAAACACAGGTATGCAGCTATCTCCGTGCTATCCTGATTGTAACTCTTTCAGGAAGACACTGAGGTGTAGTATAGTTGAGTCACTAAACTAGATACTATGAAAGCTTGAACTACTTGAAATTAGCAGTAAGATGTATGGATGAGAAAATGGATAATGTAACTATTAGAGAGAAGAAAGAAATAAAAGAGGGGATAATAATGAAAGTTCCTCATTTGTGCTTAGTTCATTAGCTTGGACTAATGATAGTTTTGCTTATCAAGACTACCACAAGAAGAATACAATTCAGAAAGAAGACAACACATTCAATTTGAGGTAAAATTCTCAATGTGAATTACCAGTTGGAAAGTTACATAGTCTACTTAATTTTGTTATAAATATATATTTGGCTCTGAACAATCATAGCTGGATAATATTTTTTTTGTTGTTTTTTTTCTGGTACCAGGAATCGAACTCACGACCTCACGCTTGCCAGGAAAGCACTGTGCCCCTGAGTGAAATCCCCAGCCCCTCATAGCTGGATAATATTATCAAAGAAAAAGTATATAGAGTAATAAAATAAAAAGACAAAAGATGGACCCTTGGTAGTACAACAAAGACAGAAAAGAAAGTTTAAGTGAACATGAAGGAGGAATTGCTAGACATATATGAAGAGAATCAAGACAGTACAAGCCAGCGTAAGTTAAAGAGAAGTTAAATGGTCAAAAGTCTAAATTTTCTGACAGCCAGTGTAGCAGTGCATGTCTATAATCACAGCACTTGGGAAGCTGAAGCAAGAGGATTGCTGTGAGTTTGAGGCCAGCCTGGACTACATGTCTAGACTGTGTCTCAGAAAAACAAAATCGGCACTCTTCTACATCTGAAAAAACACTAACAGTCAATAGTAATGATGCATATTTCAGCATAAGCTTGCACATATTGCTTCAGTAAGTTATGACCCTTTTCTGGAATTTCTTTTAGAACTGCTGATTTTGAAAATGGCTGTGTTGCTCTAGTCTACAGAAAGGAAATGTAAGTAAAGGAGTTAAACTTTCATAGTTTACTATTGAAAAAAGCACAACAAAACTGGTCATACAATATTCAAATTGCTTTCGTTTTTCTGTGTGAGTCAAGAATTAAAATGTATGTAACATGGACAGTGAGAATACTCTGAAATGCCTAAGTGAAAACACGTTAATGTGCTCTATGTAGAATACTCAAAATCAGCAAGTTCTGGGCAATATATAAATCCACCTTAGTAATTGAAAGCAAGATTCGGTCCTGTGTGTTCCCAAGACATCCTAAGATCTTCATGACCTACAAGTAGGATCCTAAAAACAATTAGTTTCTCATTTTGTTGCTAATATGACCTGACTGACACAAAAAACAGACATAAAAGCAACTACAAAACTCCTTGTGGTCTAAGGAATTTGTTCAATTCAGGAGCAGGGGAAAGAATGTCACCCTAATTGGCTAACTACTTTAACCAGATATGTTTTACTTGAAATGTGTCATATGCTAGACCACAGAACAAGTACATTAAACTATCAAGGAAACTGTCACTCTTTCATATGCTTAGAAGGGTATAATAAAAGTAAAATTTATGTAATAAATTCGGACTATCTAGGATGATCCTTAAAACTTAGTGTACTTTTGTGGTTCCTCAGATCCCAAGAAGCATCTGACATTCCAATGAATTTCATGAAAAGTAATCAAGGAGTCCACATTAAATACTGCTCATTTACAGTTTTTTGCTTCCATTAGCAGGAGGAACTAAAAGTCACGGAGCTCAATATTCCTCATAATTCAAATGCCAGTACTCTTCTGAGGTAGCCACACATTAAAAAACATATGAAGAGAAAAACCAAAAAAGCAACCTTACCTTTTGAAGATTCTCTAGTTTTTTCTTTTCAACTTTGAATTGTTTCATCCAGCAGTTTCTCTTTTCTTCTTCTTCTTGAAATTGCTTTTCTTCTCTAGCCCTCTGCGCTTTGAGAGTTTCTTGGTCTTTGTCTTCTAGCTCTTTCTGCTTGTCTTGCCAAGCTTCAAAAGACTGCCTACATCTCTCTTCCACTTCAAAGTATCCAAAGTTTATATCTACATCATCTGCATTCATGAAGAGAAATAACAGTATTATTGTAAGGATCAAATTATTAAAACTGATATAGTTTAAAAAATAAAAGTAATTTTACAGGGAGTAAATATAGTAAACATACTACCAAAGTAACAACATGGGGCTGGAAATCTGACTCAGCAGTACAGCACCTACCTACTATGTGCAGGCCCTAGGTTCATGCCCAAGATTGCAAAAACTGAAACCAAACCAAAACAAACAAAAAGCAACAACAACAAAACCTAAAAGCAGACCAAGTGAGAATGAAACAAAAAAGCAAAGTGAAAGTGATAATATGTAAAAAGAAAATGCATTCTGGAATCTGCATAAGAATTCCATCACAGCCAATAAAGAACTCAAATAATTTGTTTTAAATTTTCCTGAAAACGTCAAACAAAAGTATAATGTGTATTTGCATATGTTTACTTAAGGAATAGTTAAGTGATATGTCTAAGAGATATTTAATAAATTCAGGGTTAGTTATATAGTATCAATTTCAACCAGCTGTACATGTAGGAAAACATTAAAAATACTTAAATCGTTATTTTAGAAGGCATAAAGCAAATTATAACAACATGTAATTAAGTATAGCAAAGGCATAGTAATTTTCAAACACTGTAATTTTTTATAAATGTCAAAAAGAAAAAAATGGAAAAAGTTTTTTATAAATAATTACAATCAACCATATAAAAATTATTAAACTATCAATGGGAAATTTAGTCCACCTGAGAAGACATATTCATCCATGGAAAAATCATGAAGACCAAGCTCAGGAGGAGAACCAGGATTAGCACAGGGGGTTTCACTTCTTATAAGGTCTTCTTTTTCTATTCCTGATAATATCTAAGGGAGTACAATAATACTAATCAATAAAAAAGAATAAAAATACAGTATTGTTTACATATTAAAAATGAACATACACTGAAAATTTTACTTCAAACTTCTCTCAGTACAAATCTAAAATGTATTACTGATAATTATTTTATTAGTAAAATTGATTTCTTCGTGTAGACTATATTTTACCATATTAATGTTTTTCCAAAATTTAATCAATACTTAATGTTAATCTGCAATATTTATAAAGTCTATATGGTAATCAGTTCAAAATGTTTCTACCAAAAATATTTTTCCTACTGTATTTCTCTTCCTTACCTATAGTAATTGCTCACATATAAAAACATTAATATATTTAATAAGATAATAGAGAACTAATTATTTTCAACTTCACCCGATTTATGCATAAGTCATAATTTTGATTAATAATTTTCCATAATTTTTTCCATCATACTCTACTTGGAAAGATATAAGATCTTTAATCCAATGAAGTAGTGGTCTGATAATTCAAAATTAGTATTTCAAATTGGAATGTTACCAAGAAAAAAGAGTAAGAGTAATTTCATATTTGAAAATATGAAATTTTCAAATGATATCAAACATCTTAGGGAACAAAAATAGTTAGATAAAGTGGTAAAATTAGGGTTAAAAATACATCCAAGAAGTACATTTGCAGAAATTCACATTCACTTCTGGGGTTTCAGTATAATAAAATGTCTAGGCTTTCCTTCCCTTTTACATGTAAACAGTGTTCTTTCATTTGTTTTCAAAAACTAGTACTGTTCTTTTGCTATGTTGTAAAATGTTGTCTGTCTGTTATTTTCCTCCTTTTATTTTTAAAATAAAAAAAAACTAGTATAGAATCTCCTCCATTTGTAGTTTCTATAAGGCATTTAAATCCTCAATCTGAACACAGTATATTCCTAGGAAGGGCAAGAAACAATATATTTACTACTTTCCACAGAAGTTTTAAGAAAAAATATCAGGGAATATAGTTCTACTGTTTTATGTATATGAATATTAACTTCCCAAATATTAACAGCTCAAATCATTACTTTCATATTCTTAAAGATTGAAATTTTTGTGGTTTTATGTGATATGCCAAAGGGCACCATAAAACAAAAATGATCTGCTTAAAATAATCATTCTTTTACTTTTACTTTTAAATTGATGAACATAAAAACAGTGAATTGTCATTTTATAAAAGAAATTAAGGCTTTACAGTCTGAGTCTCCGCCCTCCATGCACCTGGTGCAGACAGGAGATCCTCACTCAGAAGACCCACAAACTGTTAACATCAGGGTTCACATTTGGCCCTCCCTGCATGCGCCCTGTGCCACCTGAGGTACCAGGGCAGGTGGTCGATGAGCTGCTGGCACTGACATTTGGGTCCAGGCTTTCCTTGCTCCCTGACCTTCTGGAGGTTACAGACACAGGAGGTCCATGATCACTGCTAGTGCTGCCCGTGACTGACTCCTGTGCACGCCCTGAACTGCCTGGAGACAGGGAATCAGGTGGTCCACAAACTGTTGACCCTGCGGTTCATATCTGGATTCTGCCTGTGCTCTGAACTGCCTAGGGACACAGGTCCACTGCTCTGTGACTGCACCACCAGTGCAACTCGCTTCTGGGTCATACATGTGCCCTGAGTAGCAAGGGGACACTGATCAGATGGTCTGAACTCACAGTTTGCATTTGCGACATGGGAGAACTAGGTACACTTCACCAACTGTCAGAAGACCCTAGACTAAACAGCGCATCTCAGCAGACACTGAGGGTCAAGCCTGACCACCAGGAAAACTAGGGACACTAGCAACCTTTTCTGAGCTGCCAGGGAAGAGGGAGACTGAGCTTTCTGCATCCGGTATCAAACATGACAAGGCAAAGGAGTAAAACACAATCTCACAACTCCTCCCCACTGAGAACATGTCCAGGAGACATCAACATAGAAGAACTTGGTAAACAGACACCTGAAATTGCTGAAATGATTGCAATGGAAGAAACAACTCCATCAGCCCATAGAAGAGAAGAGACCAGAAATAATTTCTCAGGCAAAAAATGAAATGACAACAATAATGAAAGAACTGCTCAGCATATCTAAAGAAGAAATATACAAAGAAATAGATGAACATAGGCAATGGATGGAAACATTAGATGAACAATATAGGAACGAGCTACAATGCATGAAACAAGTCAAAGAGACATCCAGGAAATCAAAGCTTCCATGGAAAGCTGGCAAAACTACTTGAATAAAGCTGAAGATAGAATTTCAAATTTTGAAGACACCATGGCAACTAGTGATACTGAAAGAAAGGATCTCTTAAAATCAAGAAGGAACCAGGAAAAATCAATTCAAATATCCTGCAAAATATCCTTTAAATCCAATGGAGAAATAAAATACTTCCATGACAAAAAACAACTGAAGAACTTCATGAGTGCCAAACCATCCTTACAAAAAATACTAAAAGATATTCTAGACAGAGAAAAAAATGACTGCAATTTTAAGAACAACAATAGAAAGGAACCCTCAAGCAGAGCAAGCAATTAAACAGGTAGAAAAAGTAGGAAATCAACAGCAAGTAAATAACATAACAATGATAAGTGAACACATACCAGTTATAATAATAAATGTAAATGGCCTCAATTCATCAGTGAAAAGAAATAGACTTGCAGAGTGGATTAAGAAACAAAATCCAACTATATGCTGTATAGAAGAAATACATTTCACTCAAAAGGAAATCCATAGACTGAAAGTCAAAGGATGGAAAACAATTCTCCATGCAACAGGAACCCAGGGAAAAAGCATGGGTAGATCCTATGTTCACAAATGAAGTAAACTTCAAACTAAGAACAATCAAAAGAGATAAACAAGGTCACATACTTGTTGGAGGAAAAATGCAAGAGGAAGAGATAATAATCATAAACATATATGTACCAAATATCAGAGCACCAAACTATATAAGACAAATCTTAACAGACATGAAAACCCAAATAATTAATAACATTATTGTAATAGGGGACTTCAACACCACTTTGACACAAAGACATAGATCAACTGGACAAAAAATCAGCAAAGAAATAACAGATCTGAACCAAATCTGTGAATAAATGGACTTACTTGATGTATACAGAGTGTTCCACCCCACAACATTAGAATACACATTTTTCTCAGCTGCACATGGGTCATTCTCTAAAATAGACCACATTCTAGTCCATAGAACATACCTACCTAAATGCAAAAGAACTGAAACTATCCCATGCATATTATCTGACCACAGTGCAATGAAATTGGAAATTAATGACAAAAGGAACTCTAAAAACTCCATAAACACTTGGAAATTAAACAACAACCTCCTGCACAACCAATGGGTCACAGAAGAAATCAAAAAATACCTCCAAACAAATAAAAATGTAGACACAAATTACTGGAATCTGTGGGATGCAATGAAAGCAGTCCTCAGAGGGAAATTTATAGAGGTGAACTCACACATAAGGAAAAGAGAAAAAAAACAAATAAGTAGCCTAATGCTGCACCTCAAACTTTTAGAAAAAGAAGAACAACTCAAGCCCAAAGCCCAAAGATGGGAGTAGATTATAAAGATCACAGCAGAAATTAATGCAATTGAGATGAAGAAAATCCTACCAAAAGAAAAAAAAAAATCAAAGAGTTGGTTCTTTGAAAGAATAAATAAAGTTCATAAACCCTTAGCCAACCTTATCAAAAAAAGAAAGAACTCAAATTCATTCAATAAGGAATGAAAAAGATGAAATTACTATGGATCCCATAGAAATTTGGAAGATCATTAATACCTACTTCAAAAATCTTTACTCCCATAGGGTAGAAAACTCAGAAGAAATAGATTCTTAGATATGTACAAATTACCAAGGTTGAGTCAAGATATAAA